TTTTTCCTAGACTAAACATAAATGCTCAAGTTCAACTGTCGCAGAAATATGCGCTTCGGGATAATTTTTCCTCGAAAAACTAACCCTCTCAATGTTTACCTCTAAGATATTTGTCCAATTGAGTCCAATTAGTACGATATCGTTTGACTGCGTGATGCTACAAAAACTGATAGTCTATTGTGTATAACTAAAAAATATTTTTAAATATACAGGGTGTTCTACAAATATTGTATTTTGGAAAAATTTAATAATCTTTCAAAAATCACTGTTTGCAGATGTCTACAAAAACAGACATACATCATCATTTATTTATTATTAATTATTTTTGAATCTTTTTCGATATTGCCCTAATTTCTTCCTTAAAATCAATTGACTTATGCACATTTCATATTTCTTTCGTTGTCTAGGGAAACAACCTTTGCATTAAAATGATTCATGTCGAAAATACAGAATTACGTCAAAGTGGGTACTTATACATTAGCAGTTATTTGACAGTCAAGCAGTTTGTTTGTTTGATAGCATCATCATAGCTAGGTAAATAAATAAAGAATTCACAGATTTCGAAATCCATGCAACAATCGGAGACATTTGCAATGACATAACGAACTATGTAAAACACAAATAACTCTTATTCAATCGGGTCACTTATTCCACTCGCTCGCAAGCTCGCTCGTGTTGCCCTGTGACCCATCATAACATGGCCGTAATATTATCAAAGGAGACGTGCGGGAATTTTAGATTGGAATTAACAGAACAATTTAGCACTTCTAAGTGTCGACAGTATCCGCGACTTTTGCTTCACCTATCGATCATAGTCGAGTACGGTCGCTAGACGCGACACCGTTGACTTTTCTGTTTGAACGGAACTCGTCACTTTGTACCCATGTACCACATACTGAGTTTTTCATTACCTTTAAACTAAGATCTCTTTTCTGAATTATGTAACACTAATCAAAACACATACATGACGTCTCCACCCTTATTTATAATAAGTGTCGGTGAGAAAAATCGATGTTTACTGTATTAAAGTCGGGTAAAGTTTCCCTACTAAAAATACAGACAAATTTTTCTACCTGCGAGCATCGCCGATCCTGTAATTCAACACTACCCACATATACGTCCCTTAGGAGACATACTCCGAAAGTTTATCGGCCAGAATGGCTTTCTACAATTGTTCTTAATACGAGAAATGGTTTTCGATATTAAAAGTGCTCGTTGATATTTATTTATATTGAATGAAGTTACAAAATTGTATTTCTGAATGTTGTATGATGTAAACTGAAGCATAAAACTCTCATTCCCCCCGCGGTTCAATTGTAACGTTTAGTTACATAATTAAATTCTCAATATTAACAGTGAATTTTCACTATAAAAAACTTTTGGAACGGATTGAACGTCTTCTATTTCATTTATTTTAAATTAACACCGGACGATTCATTTTTATTTTAATTTACACGCTCAGATTTTGACGTGGACTTGATCTGGCACAACGTCAATTCACATTTATATAAAAACCCACACGCATTTGTTTCCATAAACTATCAATGATAGCAATATTAGTGATCAATAATAGAGGAACAAATTTTATTTCTAGTGTAAAAAGCGCACTTTCTAAATTGAAATTTAATTATTTGTACAACGAAACGAATATTGTTATAAATGGAACTGAAACTGATCCTGTATCGGTTTAAAATCTCAAAGGTCGCGCATCCATTATTGGTAACGTACCGAGTAACTTTGTTCAAATAGAAACTTTATCTCTTCGTAATGAAAATCGTGTAATATAAATTTTCATAATTTGAATTGATCAAATTCAAATAAGAATCTTAGAGGAAATTACTTTTCGCTTGGCAACGGCACAGCTCCCGATTAAAATTTTAATTATTCGTATAAATTTATCCGAGTTTGCTTTTGTGGTTTTAATCTTTTGTTTTTGAGATCTCCTGCAATACGAACGGATATTTTTATCGGAGAAAAAAACCTCCTGCGTGAATCTTTTATGAGATTATCTGATTTTGCGTGATATTATTATTCTTTTCAAGGAAAATCTGGAATTCTGACGCTTACTACGTAAGTACGTGCTTTTTCAGTTGTCCTGGAAAAAAGTTCCGGATACAAAAATGACAAGCTTTTATTAGGAGTATTTTTACCTGACGGTGATCGAAATACGTGAGTACGGAATAACGTTGGAAAGAACGGACAT